ATTAAATCTGGTATGGTTCAAAGATCCATTGCAGTTCTATAACTATATAACTACATCTATAAGAATCCCAAACAGGGACACATGAACCACAGGGGGCATTTCGGCAGTTACTGTATGTGCAGTTACTTTGCAAGCATGAACTTTGAAATAAATAGTTTAAAGTAATGGATAAAGGATTTAAATTGGTTGTGGTATGAATGCAAACTTATTTTAAAAAAATCAACTGTTATAAAATGAATTTAAATAAACACATTTGTAGATCCAGATGTTTCCTTTACCAAAGTTTCCCTCCCACTTTCTCTTCCTCTGACCCCTCCTGCCCTCCTTGCATCATCCCTTGTTTTGTTCACACAAGCACCGATGTACAGACACAGAAATCCTCAGTCCCCTCCAGAATGAGAGATTTCACAGCTGCAGTATAACTCCGGGCTCCTGTTCGTCTCATTTCAACTCAGTTTCTTGCACAACAAAACATCCCCTGCACATCTGAGGACAAATTCACTTTTCTCTTATTCCTTCTGGATACGCAGCTACATACAGTACATACACCATCACATTTATCAAGGCTTTTATAGCACAGATTGCGTCATTATGCATAAACACACAGTTGGGAGGACTGCTCAGTCTAAACACTGAGCACACACACACACACATTGGCAACTCACTCTCCTAAAAAAGGGCGACACTTGGGCTGACTCCAGGGGCCAACACGACTGAGTACTTCAACGCTTCCTAGAATCCATTGAAGACATGCAGATTTCAATGTTACGCCTGCAGAGACGGACATGCCGTGCTGAACAAAGTGACCCTGTCCTGCAGCGTCAGTCATTATCAGTGAGCTCTCATCGACGAGGTAGATCTGCTGCCCCGAGGGTTCGATGGTGAAATTGGGTTTAACAGGATAAAAAATGTAAATGTTGTAAAACCCAATTTATTTCTGAAGAAGAGTGCGATAGCATCTGTGTTTTAGGTGTTATCTGAAAGAGACATCAAACTGGGTTATTCTAGTCGGCAGATTGCACAACCAAGTGAGAGCTTCCAGGAAATTATGCTATTGTCAATACAGAAAGGGAAAAAGCTTAGAAAATAGACAGAGAGATGAAGGAGGCACTTAGTTTAGTGAGAACTGATGAAAAAGGCCTTTGTGTGTGACAGGGTTGTAGTGGGGTTGTGTGTGTGTGTGTGTGTGTGTGTGTGTGTGTGTGTG